CTTGTCTCTTGATGGGTGCTGGTCTACCATCGCTCCGCCATCGTCCTGATTTTGCAGCACATTCTGTGCTCCCGCTTGCAACTCTGCATTTTGGGCTTCTGTGAACGTCTCTGTGGACTTCAAGTAAGTGGTGACAATCACCTTCTTCGAGTCATGTAGGTAAACTATCTATCCATTGATTTCTTCTGAAATCCCCAGGATGGTACCTGACTCCGAACGCTTCTTAAGAGCTGGTCTTGCTCTCCTTGGGTCTCTAAACACTCTGCATAGCGATCCGAATACAGCTATGTCTCTCACGCTTGCTGTTTTGCCAGTCAAAGCCTCAATTGGTGATGTCCTTCCAGCATGCGATCTGGTTGGGCTTCTGTTCAGGATGTAGCTCGCGTATTTCACGGGGTCGCCCCAGAAATGTAGTGGTAAGTTGCTGGCAAACAGCATGCTTCTCGCCATACCCATGATTGTTCTGTGCATTCGTTCGGCCTTACCGTTCGACTCTTGATTGTAAGGTTCCGACATTTGCCTCTCATCTCCAGACTTGTTACAGAACCGATCTACGTGAGCATACTCGCCACCCCCATCAGTACGCAGCACGCTAACCTTGCCATTAAATCGCTTCTCGAATTACACTAAAAAATGTTCAAACTGCTTCGCTGCTTGATTTTTAGTTTTAAGAAGAAATACTCGACAATAATTCGTCTTATGGTTGACGAAGTTGATCAAGTATCTATTGCCCAATCTATCCCTTGGTGTGATAGGGCCCTTGATATCACTTACTATTACACTTCCAATGCGATCGATAGGTGCATTAGATCCTGTATCACTTCTGGGCTGCTTGTTTCTTGTCTCCTTGCCTTCGTGGCAAGCTACACAGACTTATCGTGTACCTGTCTTTTCTATGCCTGAATCTGGGTTCTTGGCGATCCATTCGATCGTGTCGTAGGCCAGATGTCCCAAACGCTGGTGCAAGTTAATCAGGGCGTCCCAAACAGGGGCTATACTGTCTTACTTTGCATTCGATGTGAGTGCTGAGAGCGCTGTCTCGGTCGGCTCTGCCTCATCGCAT